AACTCGCCTGTAGTTACCTGAGATGGGAAAGAAAGACATGATTCACAATGCCATCCATAAATAATAATAAATCAGTCTAAGACCTTGTACAGTAACACAAAATTCTACCTTGTAAACTCAATCAAAAATATTTTGACACGTTGTGCTGCACTCTGTCCCTCTCAGTTCTTACCTTTATTTTGGCTCGGAAGTACGTGGAGCTGGCCTGCGGCCTCCTCTTGATCTCTGATCTCCCCTCTGGTAAACCCGCCGGGCTCTGGGGTCTGCCGAGCACCGTGCTGGAGGGCAGTTCTGGGTGAGTTTGTGTGTCAATGGTAGAGTGTTTGGTGAGGCAGAGGGGCGTGGTCATCTGAGTTGTCTCAGCGGGGCTGGCCTCCACCTCCATCGTCAGGACGGACGGAGGAAAGACGGAGACTGCAGAGAGGAGAGAAAGAGAAAGGGGAAGTGTCATGTGTCATGTCTGAATTTCCTTCTTTGACACCTCCAAAATTTCCTGAGGGAAAAATCCAGTGATTCAGCTTCCAAATGATCCCCTTTGTATGGATGTTACATTACTACAAGGGCCTTTTAGCAGCACTGACCTGAAATTAGCAATAAAGCCGAGGAGAAACTTCAGATTCTTCTTGGCTTCATAATTCTCCTCAGATTATCTTTTGTCTCTTTTATTGTGTCATTTCATTATTGATATGTTACTTACATTAACAATAATTGTAGCCTATTAAAGACATACAGACAGCAGTTAAATTTAATTCCACTTGCCTTTGATTGTATATTTTATTCTTTTATACAGAAAGTCTCTTAAATGTTAATAATTCGAAATAAAACCTCACATAGAACCTCACATTGTGTGCTTCTACTAAACTTTTACTAAGTTACAAAGAAAAACAGGCAAATGCATTTTTGCATGGACAATAACCCGTAAAGTCTTAATCTGAAATTTTTATTTTTTTCTACCACTGTTGCAAAACACAACTTATAAGTTTAACTAAAGGTTAAAAAAGACAAGAAATGTCTTTAAAAGGGGGTCAGAGGGTGAGAGTCACGTATGAGGACAAATTCAATGCAATGTACAGAATTTCACAACAAGCGGTCGGCTTGCACTGCTTTATATTTGCACAATTAGCAAAGAACCACAGCTAAATAGGAGTGTGTACTTGTGTTTGTGTGTGTGTGTGTGTGTGTGTGGGTGTGCACAGGTTTTTTTCCTATTGTTTAGTACGACTTCTGCAACCTCACCACACACACACACACACACAGATTACCATTACTTGTTTGACCAGACAGTCTTGCAGCACCAGCTTTTTACCTTCCTCAAACAATCCACCTCCGCAGGGGTGTGTGTGAGTGTGTGTGTGCATACACACAACCAACTGCATGTATGATTTGTGCAAAACACAACAAAACGTCACTGAAAGAACCAGAGACAAGCCATTCAACTGACAGTAAAACACAGAGAGGCGTGCAGGTGTGCAGGGGTGTGTGTTACTCAAAGGCAGGCGTGGCTGAGCTCAGCCGAGACAACGAATCAGTTGAATGTGCCGTCGGGCCTCAATCAGATAAAACCCAAATGTAAATGCAAATGAAGTGAGCTATATGAAGAGAAGACATAAAGCCAGTCTGTGAAGCAGCCGGATTAACGGAACGCTGAGAGAAACAGTGACAGCTCTATGGAACATCAACGCCACAACTGGTGAAGACATATCACTCTTCCAGCCTCTGTGGGTCTCCGGGTTGGGTTTACAGTGACGGCTCAAACAGGCCAACGGCTCAAAATAAACCCGGTGAAAGACTTGAGCATTATTTGGTTAAACAAACGCATTCAGTGCTGTAGTACTAACCTCCCTGCTCTCCCTACGATTCTGATTAAAATAGATCAAGCTAAGGCACACACTGAGATCATTCCACACAAGAAGAGACTCCTCCAATCATGTATTCAAAACCAGCTCTGCAGGTTATTTGTACAAACAGCTGAATTTCAGTATGTGCATTGAAAGGTGACAGTTAGATGAGAGGGCAACTTGGTGAAACTCATAGTTGAAAGTCGGATTTATTTATAGAAGAAACATTTGTGAAACACATTGGACATCAGACCATCAGTAAGATGCCTCACTGAGCATTTTCTAGCGTTTTAAACCCTCAGTCACAAATGTCTAGAGCAGGAGTGGGGAACTCCAGACCTCGAGGGCCGGTGTCCTGCAGGTTTTAGATATCACCCCGGGTCAACACACCTGAATCAAACGATTAGTTCATTACCAGGCCTCAAGGAGAACTTCAAGACATGTTGAGGAGGTAATTTAGCCATTTGAATCAGCTGTGTTGGATCAAGGATACAGCTAAAACCTGCAGGACACTGGCTTTTGAGGCCTGGAATTCCCCACCCCTGGCCTAGAGACAGGTGGCGTGTGATCCCCAGCAACCACAGGTCGCTGTGGCAATCCCCCGACTGGTAGGAGACTGGTTACTGGAGGTAACTGGCTCTTGCCAGATAAAAATCAGTCGTAAAGACGTTGCTGCACCAACAACCTCTTTGATTGCTTTGGTGACCAACAAGTCTCTACTAGTCTGGAAACACTTGTCAACTAACGCCGAGAAACCTGTAAAACTTGAAAAAGTGCAGCGCAAGCTAGAAACGAAGAGTGGTCACCTTCAGAGTAAATGCTGCGGCCTCTGTTTGCTACCAACATGTGTCAAAGGCAGAACGTTTTTACTTGAAGAGAATTTTCTTCATTTCCAGTTTGTTACAGTCTTCATAGTTTCACTACTACTCTGTGAGCAGTTGGCAAGTGTTTGCAGACAAGTTCGCATCTTACATGCAAACTACAGGCATGCTGCTAGAGACCTTTGGGAATACAAATTTTTCCTTGGTAAACTCTAGTTGCCAGGTTGTGGCCAACTGGTGACCAGGATGTTGATAACAAGTTATTTCCCAGCAACCACTTGCAACCAGTGTGGGAATACTAATTATTCAGTAGTTCCAAAGGGCTGTCAGGCTGATCTGCCAGCCTGTGTGACTGAGGGCTTAGAGGAATTTAAGAAAAAAATGAAATGTCGCTGGACATAATCACTGTCTATAGCAAGTGATCAATCCAGCTGTGGAATATTCACGACTATGTCAGTGAATGAAATGGTTAATGGACTTATTTTGATGTTTTTGGTGTATAAACAGCATTTTGAAAAATACTCTTGTTGAAAAAAATTGAACAATAAACTCTTAAAAGTTTAAAGAGTTTATATTTACAATCATTTACAAAGGTAGTGAAGCCTCACATTTCAAAGAAAGAAGTGGCAATGATCTGAGTTTATTGCTTATAGATCCTTATAAAGTCAGTAATGATTAACAAACTTATTGGCCAATCATTTTCCTATAAATGAGGCTTAATGATAAAAGTTCTTAGAGAGACTTTATGACTTTTAAAATGAGAGATCTTTTGTTTTTAAGTCACTACATGCCTGTACCATGACTGTATCCTCGCTTCAGTGCCTGAAAGACTCGCATCTTCAACATTAGCATTTCACGAACAAATCTGTTAATCAAATGATCTCCATGAGGAACTTGATCTCCACATTTAGTTTCATCTGCAGTTTAAAACTTTTTGAACCTGTTTCTGGTGTGTGACACAAAACGTGTGCTATCTGCCACCGAGAGCCTAATCCTATGATAAAAGCCGCCGAGATGATCAGAAATTTTCACTGTACTTTTTTACCACGTTTTCAAATCCTTCTTAATTACTCCTGAGTGCTGATAGTTTCTGTGGTGATTGCTGCTGGGTGAACATTTAATCTCATCTTGTATTGTTTGTTCACCTCTCCTGCCCCCCTGACCAATAAATGAGGTGTGTGTGTGTGTGTTTGGTAGTTAAAGGGCAACGTGGAGGGTTAAAACAACTCAAGGCTTCTACTCCATGAGCAAGTAAAGGAGGAGGAGTGGTGCTGCTTTAAATGCTCTGTAATATTTTTCTTTTATTCATTTAACATCGCTCAGCTGGTAGAAAGAGTCAACAATCAGTAGATAACTTGATCAAACAGAGGGTGTGTGTGTGTGTGTGTGTGTGTGTGTGTGTGTGTGTGTGTGTGTGTGTGTGTGTGTGTGTGTGTGTGTGTGTGTGTGTGTTTGCTTAAGGCGTATTGCCTGCAGCAGCAGGCTGTCCATAGGGTCCGTTACATTTCCTTCCATCCAATAAACATTAACCTTGACATTGAGCAGATAGTGGAAACTATTGGTGCAATGCAACAAACCCCCCAAACAAAACAAGACATCAGCTCCTCCTGGACTGCTCTGAGATTCTGGGGAACACGTTTAGTCGTTTTTCGCGACATCTTTCTTGTGTGTGCATGAGCCCGTCTGTGTAAAGGTGAAACTAACGTCTGCTAAAACTACAGAATGAAGTCAACACGACAACAACAAAACTTTTGTGTTATAATATAACCTCAAAAAGAAGAATATTATTTAGCTTTATAGATAAAAGCTAAGTTTATATACACTTGGAAAGTAATAATTAGATTATATGTGACCTCTGAGTGTAACAGAAAAATAAGGCATAATGATACATAGACTTATTCAAAAACTAAGTATGCTATAAGCTAATTTTTACGGTTTATTATAATTAATAATATTATTATTAGAGAAAAGCGGCGTGTAGGAGAAGATTTTTTCATTTCCATTTTTCATTCTTTTCCCCTCTTTTTCAGTTTTACTTCAGTTTTCTTACTTTTTAAATTTCTTTCAAAATGTAAAACACTTAAATGACCTTTCGATATATTTTCAATTACAACTTTTATTTGAATAAAAAAAAAGGGATGTTTCGTCTACTGCGCTTGAAATCAACGTTGTATGTTTGATGGGTTTGATGAGTTTCATGGCGGATACTGATGAGATGCAAGTTGATTTTCTCCAGTGAACCATCTGGTCCTTACATCTGGGCCCAAACACTTTTAAGCATCTATTTATGTATATTGAAGATTTGTTTCTTTTCTCTGCCACCAGTATAAGGAGGGAATAAACTTTTATTTCAAACACTGGTACCGACCGGCGCAGAAGTTCAGAATCAGCGCATAGGCAGCAAATACATGCGCATGTTAACAGCGGTACTCAGTAGTATTTTAATTTATGTAAAAGTTAAGAAGAAAGTATACCTACTTGGCAGTGATGCTGAAACACCAGCAGTCTTTGCAAGGGCAGTTATTATGACGTACTGTCTAAATTAGCTTTCGTTTCAATAGCCACTGGGAGATTAAAATGGCGAAATATTTTTAATTTCTATTTAGGAATGTTTTTTTCTCTATTGCCTTTTTCACACGCAGCGGTTCAATGTGTGTCTGGAAGATGGAGGAGGGATGATACAGACTCGAAACAAAGGTTGATTTCAGAATGATGACCCATCAGAAACAGGCCCCGGCACATGTTTGTGGATAACGCGCACGCGCGCGCGCGCGCGCACACACACACACACACACACACACAGAAAAGTGTCCAAAGCCATGGCATGTGGCGTGTCACAGAATTATTCAACACGCAGATTACTGAAGACAATTATCACATCTGAGTGTGTCAGCTTGTTATTAGGTTTTTGTGCGTGCGTCTCTCGCCGGGCAGGTACATCAAGTAACGGCACATACCAGAAGATTTAGCTGAGACCGTTGCTGGGCTTGGCAAAGCGTTAACAGTACGCGGCACAATTACGCACTGACGTTCAGGTTTCATCTTAAGGTTTTTCCTGGAAAACTAGTTGCTGAAACTTTCTGCGACGTTTCTTTGGCTCGTGGATCTTGAGAAATAACCTGAATAAAGACATTACACGGCAGATTCCTTTTGCGTGTGAGTGGGGAAGGGGAAGGTGGAAATAACTGCAGAGAGAAATCATGTTTGCTCTTCATAAGGCCTGAATCAAACCCAAAATGCCCGCGCGCTTTTATTTTGGTGGTTACATCCTATGTGAGTGTGAGTTTTTCCTCTTTTCCTTTTTTTCTTTTTATCGATCTTGTTTGGGTAAAAACCGTTTGAAGCGTATCCTGGTTCAGTTCATCCAAGTGTTCCGGTTGCAAACACCCCAAGAGGATGTAAAAGTCAATGATTAAAAGTTAACGGTGATGGGATGAGGACAGAAAAAGGACACACACACACACACACACACACACACACACACACACGGAGAGAGAGACAGAGAGAGAGAGAGAGGGAACGAAAGAGGGGGGAGGGAGAAGAGAGAAAGGAGAGCGAGAGAGACGTTTAGGGTGTAGTCCGTTACTTGTTATCTGATACCGGCGGGGTCTTACAATAAAAACTCCGCCGATGGCAACAATAGGGATTGTTTTCACGAAAACTGGGGGGATGCGGAGGGGGCAGGAGTCATTTGGGACCTCAACGTGTCATTTAAATGTAAAGTGACGCATTCAAAGAATCAAACTTGGACACCCAGCTCAGTGAAAAAGTATGAAAATCATTGTGCAGGTCAGGAAAGCTGATGTGTTTAGTTTCTTAAAAAAAAAAAAAAAGTAAGACCAACACGTGTAGATACAATAAAAACAAAAAACAAACAAACAGAAAATTAAAGGTATAAAACATCATCTCATCATTTAAAACTAAGAAAATGAAGAGATCTGAATTCAAGTGTTTATTAATTGGCCTGTGCTGAATGACTAATCAGAAGCCGATTAATAGGTCGTTATTTGTGCTTCATAAGTCAGGCCGGTGCTATGCTGTACAAGGAAGAACAATCAGGGGTTGAAGGTCGATATGAAAAAAAAACAAAAAACAAACACCGGGCCTTTGCGATCGCTTATAGGCCACAACACTGGAGTTGGTGTAAGAACACATTAGTCCTGTCACTGTTTGCTTTTGTGACACTGTGCTCAAATTGTTTATATGTGAATCATCAAAAACACGAAAAACGAAGAATGGTTTTTAACATTTTCATTAAAATGAAATAAGTTTAACATAAAAGGTTATCTAAAGTAAGAAGAGCACAGCTCTGACACCCCACAAAACAGGAACTACTTTCTCCGAGCACGGCGGGCCGCTGCTGTTTCCCGTTATTCCGTGGCCCCGTTACAATCACCGCCGGACACCCCTTCCCCCGCCACCTGTCACATCGGTATACCCGCTGGATTGCAAACCGCGCAAACAAACAAACAAACAAATAACAAAAATCCACAAATCCGTGCGTAAAGGCGCCCGAAAACGAGCCCGTACACGCTATCGCCAACATTTCTTTTGCTTTTTAAACAACAACAAAAATGGCTCATCACGGCAGTGGACTCACCTGGGATGTAGACGTCCCCTCGTTCATGATCAGGGAGTTCACTCCAGTTCCGCTTTCCCGGCGAAACGTTCGCCTTTTTAACCAGAAAGGCCCTCGGCATGCTCAGTCAACACAAAGTCCCTTTGAGAGAAAGCGATGTGCAGGGAAAGCCGCTGTGGCGACGTAAAGTCACGTTAAAAGTGACCCAAAAAAAAGCAGGAAACCGAGAGGAAAAACTGGAAGGTCGGTCCCCTCTTCTCCTTCTTCCTCCTCTTCGCACCTTTCTTCTCGTTTCGCAAGCCTCGTCCCGCTTTTTCACCTCCTGCAGCACACCTTTCCTCTCTACCAGATTTGTTTTCGAGCTCTAAACAAAAGTCTTTTCGGCGTCGGGACAGGTGAGTCCGCTCAGGTGAGCTACCAGGTCAGGTACAGACAGATATCGCCCACAGCGCCCTGAAATAACGGGAGTGTGGCGTCACTAGGTGAGGGAGCGGGGCTGGGAGGGAGAAAAAAACGCAGATATTCCTGGTCGCACGCACACACACATACACAAGTGTCGATAGAGGTGGGTCAGAGAGCTGCACAGGTACTCATTTAAAAGCAGGAAACAGGCAGCAGCGCGCATGCGCGGGAGAAATAACGGTGACAACAAGCCGGAGAGAGCCTAGGTTAGGCCTCTACCTGCTGAACCGGTTTACCCCTCCTTTTATTCTCTGTCTCGGCCTTTCCTATCCTCTCTTTCTCCACCTCTTCTCCATTCCGCTTTAAGGTGTGGGAACGGTGAAAATGACGAGAAGAAAGAGTGAAAGATTGAGAGTGTGTGTGGAAGTGTGTGTGTGAAGGAGTGAAGGGCAGTTATACAAGAAACTGTAGACACAAAGAGACAGAGGCACACTTTAACTGTGCAGATGCACAAACACAGCAGTCAGAATAAAGCGACTAATGGAGGAGTTCGTTATTTCTTTATCACTGTCACAGTCACACTTATTTAGTAGATATTTGTAGAACATATAGACAAATATCTGCTAAATATGAGAGTCTAATGCTCATCTTACTATCTTTTTTTGTCGGAGTACTTAAAAGATGAAAAATCTTCACAGTCAGGAACATTTTAATGTTTCGAGACGTGACAAAAAACCAGTTTATCATGAATCACTGAAACAGAAACGAACATTCGTCTGAATCTCAGGCGAAACGAAGTGAACCTATGAGAGGTATAACCATGGATCTGCTGTAACAAGTGAAAACAACAGTCAAGTTTGAGTGGGCATGTTGCAGATTGATCTCTGAGGATGCTCAGCTGTGTGTGAAGTTTTCAGTTTATTTTAAATGTGTCCTGAGTGATTAGATCAGAGTCAGGGAGCTGAAATAGACCCCTCCCACACACCCCCCAATTCACCATTGTGTCTATCAAGTGTCTCCGAGATGTCTAAACTGGCTACACAATTCATTACTGTTTAAGTTGATTACTCTAGAAGGTCATAGGTCTCCATGTGCATTGATCTGCTGCCAGGAAGGTGCCGAATTCATTCAGATAGGCCCAGCAAAGGAAAACAAACTGCAATTGAGATTTTGCAGGACAAAGTTATTTGTGAATTTGAATAAAAGCCACCATGCTTTGCTTTGTTCACATGCAATATTTTCCTGTTTATTCCTTGTTGTAGACGTATCATCAGACCAGGTGTAGATTACACACTCACACAAACAGGACCGTGTAGGTCAGTCCTTTTATGTCATCTAGTGTGTCATAATAAAGGAAAACCTACACTGCAGCTGGGAAGACTCGGTACTGTTGCATCAGAAAGACTCGTGTGTTGTGATGTTTGTTTTAGTCTTCCTCTGTGGTTTCCTCACTGCTGTACGGTTGATCAGTATGAACAGAGAGCTCTCTACCAGCTGTTGAGTGTTTTCCTTCAATTAACTGTGTACATATTGTGTAAATGATGCTATCGCCGTAGCTAGGTGTAACTGGGAAATGGAGTCAACAGCCTGTACCAAGCGGACAGCACAGCAATTTATTGTTGACACTAGGACACAGAAAACATATCAAATGTTTAGACTGAGAAAATATTACCTTGTTTAGAATTTCATGACAGGTAAAAGTCTCAAAAAACCTGGGACAGGGTTTTGTTTAGCGCTGTGTAGCATCCCCTCTCTTTTTATAACAGCCTGTAATGGTCTGAGAACTGAGGAGAGCAGCTGCCGGGGGAGGAATTTTGCCTCAGTCTTGTCTGATAGATGAGTTTAACAGTCTTTGTTGTCATATTTTTCATTTCATGATACTCTAAATGGTGAAAGGTCTGGACACCAGGCAGGTCAGTTCACCACCTGGACTCTTCGACTATGAAGCCATGCTGCTGTAATAGATGCAGTATGTGGTTTAGTACCGTCTTGTTGAAGTATTCAAGGCCTTCCTTAAAAGATGTAATCTGGATGAGGACATGTTAAACCTATAGATACCTTTCAGCATTAACAGCGCCTTTCCAGATGTGAAAGTTACTGATTCAGTGGGCACTGACATGCCTACGTACCAGCAGAGATAGGCCTGTTGAAAACGTTGCTGAAAGCATCTTGATGCATACTCAATCATCCAGCTGAGACTGAAGCAGTCACTTGGATGAGTGACGAAACGTTTCTTCCATTGAAAACGCTACGTCCAGATGACCAGAATCAACCTGTTGGGACGTGCTGAAAACAAGCCCAGCAGTCAGTCTCCTCTTTAATCTGGTCTTCCAAAAAGAATTTCAGACTTTGACCCATCTGACCACAGAACAGTTGCTTCAATCTTTTCTTTTCTTTTTTACTAAGCTTTGTTTCAGAGATGATGGCAGCATTTTTGGATCATGCTCACATATGGCTTCTTCTTTGGATGATGGAGCTTTTACTTGTGTTAAAGTGTCCATGTAGTCATTTCCAGGCAGTGCTGTGAAAACCGGAATATCCATCCAGTGTGAACATCTAGTGTTGATTTGTAGCCAGAGTCTTGGAAACTTTTGATGATATTAAACATGATTGGCATTGTACACTGAGTAACTCATTCCTGACATCACGCACACTGAGAAAAACAAAGACACGATGACTGATGGAGGGAGCAGCATGTAGTCCGTCCTGTCTGACAATCATAAAAATGATGCCCAGACAGTTATTATTATTAAAACACGCAAAATATTTTGCAGTCCGAGCAGATAAACAGTAAATTGAACAGTCTTGATATTCAAACCTTAAAAAAATGCTCTGGAATATGTAGTTTGTGGTCCTATATTTCTGTTATTTTGTCCTCTCCATTTACTGTTAATCAGCTGATGCAGGCTTGCAGCTCCCTTTTAAACAACACTTCTCTTTGGTTGCACAGGTGTGCTGGCTGGTTGTGACATTATAAAAGGCTTCTTGTGCAGGCCTGATCAGATCACTCACATGATGTTGTATTTGCATAATATATTGAACACCAGGACCTCATGTAATGATGTTATAATTTGTGTTTCTGTGTAATGAAAGAGACGTGACAGCAAACTTGCCACAGCCAGTTTTTGATGTGTGTCGGAACTTTGTTTTGTGCCCCGATTGCCAAAATTTTGCAACAACTTTGGCAAAACAATTAAAAAAGAATCAAAATGACACATCACGAAGGTGCTGGGTGAAGGTTAGGGACATCAGCGGTGACCTCTCGGGGTGTAAAGAGTCTCTTCTCTCCACGCTGCCTTTAAATACAACAGGAAACTCCAGTACAGCGAGATTCACGTCTTACCTGTCTGTTCTTCTCATGACTAATAGCAAAAGAAATGCTTCTCAAGACAACTAATACGCAAAGTATTTATTTGGCTGTAACAGGAGACACGCTATAATGCCATGTAACTGCATTGTCTGTGTGGGTGTGTGGGCGGCACGTTGTCATTTGAGATCATGGGCGTTTAAATTGTTATGATCTGAGGATAATTTTAATGGATAACAAATATTTACTACGTTTAATGCCAAATAGATTTTCACAACCAATGGACAAAACAATTAACCTGTGAAAACACTTTAAAGTGGCGCAACGCAGTGGAAAACCACTGACCTGGCAACCCTGTTTATGTTTTGTGTTTTTTCCCTGTTTAATAATCATGCAGACATCAACATATCCACAGCAGCAGTGTGACAGTGACGTCATGGCCGCTGATCTAGTGCAGTACATCTCACATACAGCCCACTTTGATCTTAAGTGGGCCGAAACTACAAAATTGCCCTTTCTGTCAGTGTAAAGATGTGTAACTACACATTTAATCCCCTTCAATATAAAGAGCAGTGCAATATCAACAGTATTCCTCAGTTTTTCTACTCAATAAAGAAATGCTGCCATACTAAATGAAAGAAATCTGTCAGCACAAATAAATAAATCCGTAAAATTACAGACCAAAGCTCCCGTAGCTCACTGAACAGAAAATGCCCTTTCCCCCTGTGGACCCACTGTAAAATAGAATATAGTGAACGAAACAGGAACCTTTCTGTGATTTGATTGTTTTTGTTTATCTGTTACTTAATTTGTTGTAGTATGAATGGTAGTGGGGGAGTTTTTTAGAAAGTAGGAAATGCTGTAAAACCTTTAAAGTACAGTTAAAAGTCCAAAATCTGTGCCCTCGTTTCAAAGCTGTTCAGTTGGCCAGATTGGGGTCTTTGTCAGGCTAATTCTGGCCCCCGGGCCTTGTGTTTGACACCACTGATCTAGTACATTATCACTAATAAAGGGACAAACCTCAGCCTTTAGGTATGCAAATTTGCAAGTGTGCCCCCCACCTTTCCATCCCTGCTGTGTGTTTACAGCCCCCTCTTGGTTTCTCACTGTTCCCTCATCTTTGGAGTTTAAGTAGTCTAACACACCCACCCACCCACTCAGACCCACCCTAGTCTCTTAATGGCTGCTTGAAAAAACTGAAACCTAAAGGCAATACACAGAAACACAGAAACTGCTGATCTGGACCCTCCATCCATCTCAGATTTAACCATTTATCCAAAGCCATTGAGTAACCGCGGTTCAGTTAAATGCATGCATGTCTTTAGACTGTGGGAGGAAGTTGGAGCACTCACAGAGAAATGGCAGGAGGAAAAGATGTAGACCTTGGAGGACATTCATGGATGTTACAGAGAACGTTAAACTTTTATGCAGTGTTTTAAAATTTAATGGATTACTAAGTATTTCTAATCCGAATGACAGTGACTGTTATCAAGAGCACGCTCCGTTTTGCGTAACTATTTTCAAATCCCTGTAGAACTGCAGCCACATAAGCTAGCGCAATAAATTTTTTTGCATATGAAACTGGAGGAGTTGCACTTACAACTTATGCCATCAGTTTGTCACAGTTTCCTTCCACATATAGCTTTGCAAAAATTGCATAAAAAGCACTTATAGCAATAACAACATAATATTCCAGAAACGCACTTTGCCGATCTGATCAGCTGTTCATAAAACGTCCTACCCTGGAATAGATGTCAGTCCGCCATTACTTGCCAGAAACCGGAAATGATGTCATTCTTCTTTTTAAACCTTCAGGACCTTGTAAGCCTACACTCGTGTTTTTAGAAGTCATGTTCGACTTTATGCTTT